ACAATTCGGGTAGCAAAAGTCAAATTTCAATCGGGTTTTTATAGTACTTTTAAGAGAAAATAAGTTCGGGTACGGGTACCCTACCCGTTGCTTCCAAAACCCTGCTAAAGAAGTGCCAACACCAAACGCAAACCCCGCACTAGGAAGGTTACTCTTTTCTCAGCTTTTTCTTTGGCCGTTTCTATAATGGAATCATTACTTTCTTCGCCAACCCCATTTTTTTCTTCACCATCGATCTTCGTCTCCAGCCAATCCGTGTCCAACCCAAGACCCATACTCCCATTGCTGTATAGATCCAAGCCAAGGTTCGAGCCATTGTGGTGCACGATGGGCCAGTCCTCTGAAACCGAGACTACACCCAAGGAGACAAAGTTGTGGGGTGGCAGATTCGAAGAGAGTGTGACGGATATCGTTGAGAAGTTCACTGAGTCTATATCGTTTGATAAACAGTTGTATAAGCATGATATTATGGGTAGTAAAGCCCATGCTTCCATGCTTGCTGAACAGGTTCCTGTTTTTTCTTATTTAGATTTTCCCTTCCAATTTAATGTTTGTAGAGTGTTTTGGAGGAGTTTGTTGGTTTCGGAAATGTGCATAATTTACTTTCTAAAAGGATTTTAAAGAGCAAAATTATGCTAATTAATTGAAACTGAACAATGCACTAAACTGCAAAACCAATTCTAACATTTTTTTTTTAATTCAAAAACACTTATTGTGCCGTTTGCTTTATCAAGCAAAAAACAAGAAGCTGTACATTACTAATTTTTTAAGTTTAAACTTATTTGATTATAGTAACCATCCTTTGGTTCAGGGTGATAAAAGCTGTGAGAGATTTGTGATATGATTTTTCTTATTTTTGCTTGTAGGGGTTGATTAGTGTAAGTGATAGGGATAGTATTTTGCAAGGCCTAGATGAGATAGATAGACGCATTGAAGCTGGTGAATTTGTGTGGAGAACTGACAGGGAGGATGTGCACATGAACATTGAAGCAGCACTAACAGATATGGTTGGTGAGCCTGCAAAGAAGCTCCACACTGCTCGAAGCAGAAATGATCAAGTTTTAACTGATTTTCGCCTGTGGTGCCGCGATGCTATTGACAGGATTATTGCTAGCATTAGACATCTCCAGGTTGCATTGGTGAATTTGGCTCTAACTAATGAGGGTTTGATCATTCCTGGATATACACATTTGCAGAGAGCGCAACCTGTTTTATTGCAACATCTTCTCTTAGCATATGTGGAACAGGTTTGAATTAATTCATTTATACATTATTGTACAATAAAAATTGAATATCTATATATCTGTTTGGCAAAACAAATTGTTTGCCTTTTTGATTGATTAGAAAATTTTGAACTTCTCATATGGTTAGAGCGTAGAAAGAAGCTTATCTAATTGAACTTTTATTAGAGAAAAAGGACTAAAATTGGAAGAGAAAACACATTGATGGTAGCCAGCTAGGCCCTTGAAGAGTAAATAAAAGGAGGAAATATTGGAACCTGGGTAAACCTAAAGATTGAGAATGGTTAGCAGTTATGATCAAGTCAACCTAGTGTTAGAGGTCTGAATGTTAGAATCCACATGATAAGATGTGCCCATCTACTTGTGCGCAAATCAATTATGGTTTTATCACCCGGACTACCCAGCCCTTTTTCTATAAAAGAAAGAAAAATAATTTTCTTTTATATTGTTAATAATTGCAGATGGTAAATCCGGATTTCTATATTTACATGATGGTGTCTTGGCTTGCATGAGAACGAATTCTCTTGTTAGGTATACAAAACTGTCTTGTATCTTTTATCATTTTGTCTCTAGATTTTCTAACTCAGCCTTTTTTACTGCAGCTTGACCGTGATGCTGGCCGTTTACTAGATTGCAGAGCTAGGTTGAATTTCTGCCCACTAGGTGCATGTGCACTGGCTGGCACTGGCCTACCCATTGATAGGTTTATGACTTCTGATGCTTTGGGGTTCACTGCTCCCATGAGGAACAGGTATGTGCTGAAACAGTCATCATACTTCAGTTTCTGGAATGTCACACATGACCATTGCATGACTTGTCTCTGTTTATGCCTTATAGCATGAAAGTTTGTTACCCCTTCCATAGGAGTTTGTCAAGCCTAGATCTCCATCTTAATTTTGTTGTTTCTTGACATCTTGATATCAGGCTTCTTTTAACATAGTTGTTTTTCACTATTTTTGAACAGTATTGATGCAGTTTCGGATCGAGATTTTGTCCTAGAGTTTCTTTCTGCTAATTCCATCATAGCGATTCATCTTTCTCGGCTGGGTGAAGAGTGGGTATTGTGGGCTTCAGAGGAGTTTGGATTCATCACACCAAGTGACTCTGTTTCCACTGGAAGTAGCATAATGCCTCAAAAGAAAAATCCGGATCCAATGGAACTTGTTCGAGGAAAGTCTGCCAGAGTGATTGGAGACCTGGTTACCCTTCTTACATTGTGCAAAGGACTTCCTCTTGCTTATAATCGTGATTTGCAGGTAGAAGCTTCTTTTACTCACTTAATAATGTGGTTATTTAAGTATATCCATTTTATGGACTCCATGGACACTCGACCATCCTTGACGTTATAAATCTTCTGGTTCTATGTTGATATTCAAGTTGATCTTACTTGTCCACTGGTGCTAACTGCTGTTTGAGCTCTCATCTATTTTAGCATTTTCCTTGGATTTGTTTTTTCTTTTGGGAGTGCTGACAGACACATTCTCTTTTCTTTTCTTTGGCCTACTGCAATAGGAAGATAAGGAACCTATGTTTGATAGTGTCAAGACCATTGTAGGAATGCTTGAAGTGTCTGCCGAGTTTGCTCAAAATATTGCCTTCAATGAGGAAAGAATACAAAAGGCTTTACCAGCAGGCTATCTTGATGCCACAACACTTGCTGATTATCTAGTTAAAAAGGCAAGTTATTTTGTATTTGTTGATTTCTCTTTTTCTCTTTTCCTTTTGATTGTAAAGGTGTTGCCTCAGTTGCTTTCCAAATATAACTGATTTGATTTCTGTATCGTTTTCTTTTTCTTTGTTCCCCCTTTCTTTTTCAATAAAATAAAATATATGCCCATTTTTCACCTCTGCAGGGGATACCATTCCGAACTTCTCATGATATAGTTGGACGGTCAGTTGCGTTATGTGTTGCCAAGAGCTGCCAGCTTCAGGACCTAAGTCTGGATGAGTTGAGAAGCCTAAATCCTGTATTTGATCACGATGTGTATGAGTTTCTTGGGGTAGAAAACGCAGTCAAGAAATTCAGTTCGTATGGTTCAACAGGTTCAGCATGCGTAGCTGATCAACTTGACTACTGGGTTACCAAACTTGAAATCAACAGAACAGGACCTCAATGATATATGTGCTTGTGATGAGCCCGTTTCTGCTTGAGAGCTATGCTATAATCTGAAGCCACTGTTTAGGACTCAAGCGGTGATCATGGCATCGAATTCCGAGAGAGCATCAAAGATGAAACATGCCGTTAATGAGTGAAATCTCAATCATCACTATTGAGCAGACATTAGATCAAAGAATAGTGATAATGGTTTTGATTTTCCATAATTTCATTTCAAACTTATTAAGACCTTTTGCTAGGATGTTGCTCCTGTCAATGTATGATTATAGCAAAGGGTTTAATTCCCCAACTAAAATTGCATAAGTTGCAAATAGTCTTGGACTTTATTATTTTTTTATCATTTTTATTTTTATTTTAAATAAAAAGAAGCAATATTTGCTAGCCTTATGATTTATGAAGCACACTAAACTTCGATAATTTCTCCCCCTTTCAGTTTATTTTTTCCTTCAATTTTCTTAATCCAAACATAATAGTAGTATTAATCTTAGGAAAAAACCAAGCAATACGAGCCTGATGATCTCAAAGAATCAACTTACGTATTGTGCAATTAAGCTAAGCAAACAGTGAATAAAATAGGACAAGCCTGATCAACTGTCGAACAACATCAAGTCATCACTTCCATTCAAGGATCCAACTTCTCTTGTTGGATGCTTTCTTGTACAGAACCAAAGGATTAAACAGAACCAAAGGATTAAGAAGGAAAAAAAATCCAACAAAAAAAAAAACAAAGGTTTTTCATGGAAATGACGTACATATCAAAGCTGGTTAGTAACATTGTGGTAAGAATATTTTACCGATGACTGGTCAAGGACTCCCAAGTTATCGGCGGCAGTTCTCTTTCTCATCTGTTGTTCTTGTTGGCCTAATAGGACTGCTAGGAGCAAGGACAGCTTGTTCCTTGTTGGTTGATTCGTCCTGTTGATCAGCATTTCTTTCTCTCAGCAATTTGTTGCCATTTGATGAAGCTGATCTCATAGCTCTTGGTAACTTCAACGGGATGTCTGACTCACTTGGACAGTTATCTGTTCTTTTGGGAGGATCAACCGTTTCTGGCTTTTGGGCCTCTGCGGCGTTCTCTGGCTGTGAAGTTGGTGGAGCAACCGGAATCAACTGGATCACTGATTTTCCCCATTTCTTTCTCCGATTAGGCTTTGGTGCATTGGGTTTATCCTGTCAGAAGAATAAGTCAACTTTGCATGAGCTTGACTAATGAAAAATGAGAGGATTATGCTAGCCGAGCATAAAATTATTTAATATAGGACATAAAAAAAGTGGTGGGTAAATCATTGTCTGTGAATGGTTTTCAATATCATATAAGACCAGAAACGATACCAATGTGTTTCCGATGTCTGTGAGTGGTTTTCTCTTTGTGGCACAATCCTCATTTGTTTCAGCTGCTTTCTCACCCTCCAATGCATTCTGGAGTAGCATTGCCCCGTGAGCGACAAGGCTCTGCTCTTCGTTAGTGCCAACATCATTTGGCATGTTTGCTTCTGCTTCTCTATTGGAACATCTGACCAAAGAACAACCACATGACTGTCCACAAGAGTTTCCATTTGCTCTACACTGGCATTTCGGTGTCTTGCACCAGGACTTCTTACTGCAAGTGCAGCATAATCCATCAGTTTTCCCTGTAACCTCACCAGTACACCCCTTAATGTTTTCTGAGTCGTTGGTATCTGGTTGATGAATTCCTTCACTTGAGTGGCCTCTAGATCTAGAAGCTCTTCTCCTAAATGGCTTCTTTTCTGACTGCACCCACTCACCATCATCACTTGCATCCATATCCGAATGTTCTGACTCAGATGTATCCATGTCCTCCATAAAGATTATGGAGCTTCGGTGTTCCTATAATAATTTTTTCAAGTCAGGAAGTAATTATTCAAAACCATTCTACTTTCAGTAACAATTAAGCTATAAAGGAGAGGAGTGGCACCTACCTGCTTCCGCAACTCATACTTATGTCTTCCACCATTTAAGTCAGGGATTCCGTTCATGGAGTATTGCTTCATGCTTGCATTCTGTTACAAGGGTCATATATAGCTAATCAGTCAGGATCCTAAGCTTAACAAACATCAAAGGAAAAAATTGAACAGAAAACTGTCAGGATCCTAAGCTGATACATATCATGTGATACCTTACCACTTAAAGTTAGATTGAACATTAATATAAATAATGAACTAACCTTCACTTTCACTTGATGGACAAGATCTGCCTTTTGTATCTCAAGTTGTCTAGCCAAACTACTAAGTTTCACCACCTTTTCCTTTAGATCTCTTATTTCCATATCCTTTTCTCTGCAATGAACTTCCTTATCTCGCACTGAGCACCTTCATGAAAAGGTCAACATGTAATTATATTGAAGCAAATAGAAAGTCAGACCCATGATGCAACAACCATGATACAAAAACAAAAAGTTGCAGCAAATCAATTAGTTAAAAAGGCAATAGCATGCACTTTTTTGATCTGATAGATGAATTACCTTGAGGATGATGCTAAATTGAATAGATAATTCATAATATTTTTTGCATCAGCAAGAGACCGAACTTGGTTCCAACGTCCTCTGCCACTAAAAATACGTTCACGCTCTTCTGCTTCAGATAGTTGTGAGGCCATAGAGACCAGAGTGCTAGAAGTAGCAGCAAGCATGTTTTCTAAAGCAAAAATCCTCGAGTTTCTTGCACCTGGTGACATTGTCTCGGGACAATCACTGCATTTGGTAGCATTAATGGAAAAGTATTTGATCATTGGCATACATAATAACATGGAGGGGAAAAAAGAAAATGATTTGACGTAATGAAGAGCATATCCAACATCAAAAAATTTAACCTTAAATCACTCTGCTTAAGCATCTCAGCTTCTTCCTTCAATCTCGCAACCTCCTTGGCCATCCTAGCCCTCCTATTGTACAAACAGAACATTATTTGAATATATTCAACGACAACACTATGATAAGAGCATCACAAGAAAGCTTCCACTTTATAGTTGGAATCTTATACAGTAGAAATTAATAGATTCTTAGCCCAAATGCCATTACGTAATCAAACTTCCTCTGCCATCCTCTACAAAAAAGAAGAGCTAGAGAGAAGGGGAAATTAAAAAAAGAAAAAGAAAGCACAACTAAACAACTACAAAAGAATTCTCCCAAACCATAGCATTATGAGATCTGGCCTATCCTTTTTAGCATGAGAAACAGTCCTTTCTTCCCCATTTTTTCCCTTGGACGAGGGGAGCTCATCGGCATCCCTAGTCAATGCACAATCTAGTTTAAAAGAGAATAAAGAGACCAAAAAATCAAAGACCAAAATAAGCAAACTGAAGTTAGGACTAAATCCTTAAGCATACAACTCAAGTTACTCATAAAACCTATTAGAAGTAAATCCTGCCTGTATTCACACTAGGCTGGAACCACAAAACATTCTCCTCAACTTTTAAATCTAACGTCGGATCTAGGTAAAACAAAATTTTCTTTTTAGTTACAATTAGCAAATAAAAACAAAATAATGAAAATTTCAAACACCTTAACAAAGCTACTGACAAATATCTTAAGTAGTATATCTAATTTTTTTAATTATGAGAGAGTGATTAATGCAGAAACCAAAAACTTGTTGCAGCTCTGACAGAATGCACATGAAACCAGATTATGAAACAACTTACAAATGTAAAAGATTAACAAGCATTCAAACAACACAGAGAATTGAATCATCAAGCTGGTCAAACCAGCATATTTAAAATACGACACTGAATAACCAATGTTGACCATAACTAAAACAAAAGAGAGAGAGAGAAGTTTAAAGGCATTCACTTAGACTCCTAGATTTAAATTAGTACTCTTCAAACAGTGTGCAAGAATGCTACAGATAAATCATAAATTAGATAAAATGACAGTTCAAACCAAATTCTGACCAAAGCTAAGCTATTATAGCTAGAAATGGTGCAGAACTAACGGAGCTGGATATGAAATAAATAAAGAGGACTCACTCTTCCATTTGTCGTTCATATTCAGAGCGTACTTCATGTACCCGTACTGTGACCTCAAGTTCATGCTCAATTGTCTGCATTATTGCCTTCAAAACAAATATATAAATGAATAAAAAAATTGAAAACATAGCCCCTATCATGGCAATTCAAAAAGGATATTAGAACAAAACTATTTGGTCTAGGCAATTGCAAAACAAACTAATTAATCTTTATGCAATTGTAAATACCTGAATTCCAGCACCATTGCCATTTCCAGCACCTGCATATCAAAGATAATATTATCATTGAGTTATAATTATGAAAAAACAAGGATAAACTGCATGACACAAAAGAGCTCCTAACTGGAAGCTTCACGTGTTGAAGCTTTTCGAGATTCTAGAAGCTCCTTTAGCCTTTTCGTAGCCATTGCAGCCTCTTCAGTCTTTCTTTGCAAAACCTAAGATGCATTTGCCAAGAGTGAGAACAGTTCCTTAGATTTAGGAAGATCAAAGCGCTCCATGTAAAAATAAAAATTACCATTTTTTGCCTCTGATTCAGAGCTAAGAGCTTGTGCATCTCATACTCATTTCTCCTTCCCTCTTTCTTAAGCTAGTTATCAAGAAAAAAAGACGATATATGCGTTAACAAAACATTTTGCTCCTAGAATTACCTAAACTATAAAACTCTCAAATTTTGAAAAAAAAAAAAATCACACTCATATGAATTCGCATTTATGCCTTTCTATGTAACAAGTAATAACACTAAATTTCTGCTAACAATGAGTCATTTGATTGCATTTATGCCTTTCTATGAAACAAGTAACAAATACATTCCCTTTCTTATACATTTAACAGCAGCTACCACTATAGAAGAACTATTTTAGATTTCTTTTGGTACGAGAGAAAGCAGTATGGCTTGAACCTTAGATCTCTACCCATACCATTATTTTAGATTTCAAACTAATATGGCTTAGCTGAGAAGGTTATTGACACAAAGAAACTTGAAATGTGAAAGTGGAGTATAATCTGGTATCAGAGTCACAACAACACTTATCAACTATTATCAATTATCAAATTATTACTATTCAGATCATATGCTTGACACTAAATGCCAAAAATTCATGGCGTAGCCTGTGTAGACCTTAAAGAGGTATTGCAAATAACAAATATCTATCACATAACAAAACCATGCATTTAATCTTATATTTGCTTGTACCTGAAGCACCTCTTTCTCTCGTGATGCTTTCCACAACCTAAATTGCTCAGATTCTTGCTTGATCTTATGTTGCAGTTGAACCTAAAAAATGGACATTTGCATTGGTATGTTAAGCAAGAATCCAATCCCTATTTTACAAACCAATTGAAGTTTTTAAGATGAAAATTGAAGAAGGTGGGATTCACCTTCTGAGATTTGATTCTCTG